TATTCGGACTATTGTCCTCATCTTTGTTGCCATATTTATTACAACGTTTCGGCGTCTCAGTATCTGTCTATATTTCTGAGATGAGGTATTACGTACACTATTTACATTATTCGGACTATTGTCCTCATCTTTGTTGCCATATTTATTCCAATGTTTCGGCACTTCAGTATCTGTCTATATTTCTGAGATGAGGTATTATGTACACTATTTACATTATTCGGACTATTGTCCTCATCTTTGTTGTCATATTGATAAATATGATAACAAAGCTGAGGACAAGAGTCCGAATAATGTAAAATGTGTACCTAACGTTTCATATACTTAAGAAACCGTTATTTTATTGAGCTTCCAAAGCACGAAGCCGTAATGCATATAATGTGTATATAGTGTACTGTAGTGGACGAGCTTGCGTGTCACGATGGACCTGAATGCAATGGCGTCGGGTGCTCCGTCGCCTGGTAGGCGGTCAAGAAGACGTTCTAAGTACGAGAGCAAGCCGGCAGCCCGATTCAATCTGACATTATGAACCTGCCTGTCAAGCCCTGGTTTGTCGTATCGGATGGTGTCAGCTGAAGTGTGTTTGCTATAGAATTGGTGAAAAGAAATCAAATAGAAGAGATGAAGAGAGCCCAAAGAAAAAACCAGAACTCTCCATCTTCTGAACCGTCTTACCCTACCGTGCGAGGGACGCGGACGTCTCTTCTTGTCAAATTTCATACAGAAGGAAATGTCGATGAACACCGCAATACTTGACAACGAGTTCCGCCAATCATGACAAAACATAACGATGGAAGGTTGTTTCCATCTTTTTCTAAAACTAAACTTTTCTATGTCTATATTTGTTTATTTATGGACGAGTATTCCGTTATTTGTTATATTTCTGCATGAGTTCCTTTCAAACATGCTCGTCGCCATTGTTATATTCCACGTTAAGGGAATAAACTCATAACACCAAGTGGATACTAGAAGAAAGGTTTATTGTACACAACAAGTACAATATGAAATACGGTACAGTTATACACACACACAGGTCAATCTAGTAGTGAGTGCCACTAATTGGAAGGTCAGACGTGCTTGCATCGTCTCTCTCACTCTTCTTCTCCACCCTGAGTCTCTCGTAGACGGTTAACTTTATAGGTACTTGCCACCTATAATGTGATCACTTATGGGGGTAACTGGTTATTCCATTACATCATAATTTGTCTTGCTTTGTAGTTTTTTTGTTTACCTAATGTTTTATATATTTAAAAAAAAAAGTTAACTTGTGGGAGGTTCTAAAACATGTAATGTATATAAAGCTTTATAAACATCCTTTTATATATAAGTACTCAGTAACCGTGAAAATCTAAGAAAATATTCTCCGTAATCTAATTTTTTATTGAATTTTATCAATATAGCAACAAAGATGCGTACAAGAATCCGAATAATGTAAATAGTGTACCTAAAGTTTTATATACTTACGAAAGCATTATTTTATTGAACTTCTACAACACGGAGCCGTAATGTATATAATGTGTATATAGTGTACTGTAGTGGATGAGCTTCCGTGTCACGATGGACCTGAATGCATAATTTGTCTTGCTTTGTATTTTTTTTACCTAACGTTTTATATATTTTAAAAAAAAAAAAAAACTTTTGGGGGGTTTTAAACACGTAGTGTATATAAATGTTTATAAACATCCTTTTATATATAATTTTTAAGTACTCAGTAATGTTACAAATCTAAGAAAATATTCTCCGTAATCTAATTTTTATTGAATTTTACAAATTTGGGCTTTAGATTTACTATTTACTCTTATTTTCTGATAATGCCGTGTGTGGGCGTCCGTATCTAAAAAGAAAATTCAAAATTCTTTTAAAAATGTTGATTTGTACTAAGCTTTTCCATTTATGATTAGCAAATATAACATTTACTTAATAAAAAAAACTTGTCGGAAAAAAAAAAACTTTCGACACAGTCAAAGGTGGGGAAAACCCAGAAAAGAGCAGCGACAGTCTGGTAAGGGTTGCAAAAGGAGTCCTCCTCTTGCGACCCGCTCCAACTAGGTCTAGTAAGAAGAAATAATCCTTCAGCACGACAAATAACCAGTCACGCGTCGGCTGATAGAGAAAATAGGTCTCGTGAGAGTACAGAGGATGATTTTTATAAGGAGTCTAACCGCTTCCCACGATCCTCCTCCGACCAAGACCATAAATATCAGTTGGTCATTTGGTTCCAGTTTAGCTGGACACAATTCCCCCGAGGCTGAAGCAACCCGTCCGTAAGTAACCCCTTCTCTCTTCCTCTTTCCTTTTCTTCACATGTTCTTTGGCTATAGAAAATTCGTAAACTTCAGGAATCAGCACAAAAATCTCCTGAGCCGACCAAGCATAGAAATGAATACAATTTGGGAACCAGTAATAAGGAGTGCTAGAGAAAAGCGATAACAACATCAAAAATTGCAATATGAGCTCTGGTAAAAATAAATGCAATGATAACAGCAAAAATTGCAATATGAGCATTAGTAAAAAATAATTGCTGAAAACATTTGGTTTATAATACCAAAAAATTCAAACATAGTTGTCCTCAAGGACACATGGCACTGTGGATAAAAACGTTAGTTTGATCCAGTAACAGGACCCAAAGATGTGAGTTCAATACCTGGTTAAGACAGTGGAGAACTTTCAGTGGGGAAATTAACAGGAGATAACAGACATCCGTTAGACATGGCACGTGGAACTAGAACAGTCTACCTCAGTGAGTGAAATAAAGGGTTCGACATTCCAACCACCAGAAGAAGGCCGTAGCGAACAACGGCCGAAACTTTGTTATAAATATGGCGACAAAGATTCGGACAATAGTTCAAATAATGTAAATGAAGTGTCCTTAATATATGTTATTTATTGAAACCTTTTCTAAATAAATAAGGTCTTAGTTGTATTGATTTTTTATTTTACGATTCAGAACAGGTTTTCAATCAATGGTGTTTCTGTTTACCAAAAACAAATTGATGATTTAAATTCTCCAAGGAGTCCTGCTTTTAACTAATATAAATATGAATTTGGGTGGAATTTACTTCCTAGAAGTTTCATACAATTAAGTTGGGGATGGGGTGACAGATGTAAACAAAATGCCAAGATTTTCTACAAAAAATATTCAAAAATATTTTGATTCTTTTGTGAATAAGTTCTGAAATTTTTTTATTAAAATCTAACAATTATTTAATATTTGCAAGAATTTCAAAATTAATTTGTTTTTTTTTTACCGTACAAATGATGCTAGCATTATCAAAATTAATTATTAACAACGAATCCTTTCACCCACCCAGCCTCCACCAGACGCAAGGAAAACATGGTTTTTAAACAAAATTTTGAACGTGCTAGAAAGAATTCACAAATTTAATAAAATAATCAATAATCAAAAATACTTTGTCCTTTCCTCTTAATAATAACATAAAGATTTTGACGATAAAACTTTGTTTTTGATAAGTTTGAAGACTTTGATCATCAATGTTATCGGGCTGGAGAGAAATGATCCCAGTGTGCGGCACCTTTGCAAAATGCCTGAAAACCATACCACAGGTTGACCCAAGCCTTGTGAATGAAATTGGGTAGATTGCACACTTGGGGGCTGTTGATAGCTGTGCTAGCACGAAGTCACAAGTCATCGTGACTGAGGATTTGAATGTGCTGGCCTTGTTTAGATTGTTGATCACGCTAGATAATACGTTCTCTCCCAGAAACTGTAACTAACGTCTGCTCAGCATAGTTGCAGCATAAACAACATCAATGTAAAGGCGATTTTAATGTATGGTGCCATCGCTTGGACATTAACTAAAACCCTAGAATCTTAGCTTAATAGGACCTCTATGGAGCCATGGATCTTACACGAACGCAGAATGCGTTTTGCAGGACACTGCTGGCGATCAAAACAAGAATTGGCGAGTGATCTACTGCTCTGAACACCTAGACATGGACCAAAACGTGCTGGTCGCCCAAATATTAGTTTGTATTTTTTTTAAAGTTTGTTCACTTCTTTCAAACTAAACATAAGAAGGGTTCACTTAGACTAGGAGCATAGGTAAATATTTAAAAACAGAATTTGTTGCTCATCTACGGGTGATTTTCTTTATGCTTCTATGCTATTCAAGATTTTACAACCATTTTCAATAACATTTATTTATTTGTAGTATTTATATCTCAACTGAACTCATAAGCTTCAACCAGCAAGCCTCAAAACAAACTGTCTCAGGTGAATCAATTCTTTTACTTACCTAGGAAGCGAAATAAATTCGATTTAAAATTCGCTGGGCCTCTTTGAATAAAATGGATGTAATCTGGAAATCTGATCTACCAAACAGCTTCAAGCGGAGATTCTTTTGAGCCACTGTAAAGGTGTTGTTATTGTATGGTGCCATTGTTTGGACATTAACTAAAAATAAGTCTATGCTTGATGGAATCTACACTCAGTTGCTCTGAGCTATAATATCTCTTGGAGACAGCATCCAACTAAATCACAGCTCTATGGATCCATCTCTGATATTTCTACAATCTTACGCAGAATCCGTTTTGAATGACACTGCTGGTGAGAAAAACAAGAACTCGCCAGTGATTGGCTGCTGTGGACACGTAGCTATATATTGTAACGAATTGGTCGACCACCTATATTAAGCAGTTATTTTATGACAGATTGCTTCCATAATGTCCTCCCGGCCTTGACGCAAGTCTGTGATGGTTAGTTTGATAGTTTAATGAATGTCCGATTTAGCTCGACCGAATAAAAAATAAAAATATGTAAGAGACGATGGATAATATTTTTATATGAATACTTTTTCAATGAATTTTGATTTTTAAAAAAATAAGGCCACCATTTTATATCGGACATCTTGCGTGAAAAACCAAATCTCCCGACGCATGTAATGTGGCTTGCAAGCCAGAGAGAAAAAAAATATAATTCCTCCTGACACCTGTCTTATTTTTCTCACCATTTTAGCACGCCTACTTATGATTTGTTTTTTCAGTCAACAACTTTCTTCCCTTGTTCACACTTTATAAACAGTAATGTTTTCTCTCTTTTTTATTTTGACAACTCCGGCTTCTCATTTTCCTCCGGCCTCCAGACGATTCAGAAATCTCTTGTCTCCTCGGAGCTAAAGAGTTTTCACGCTTTCATTAATATTTATTTACAGCATGTTTCTTCATATAGCAACCGTCAATTTCAAATTTATTGTATAAACATTCATGGCAAATATCATGAGCCTGAGTCTGGTGAGTCAAGACCAGTTAGGCGGCTTAGGGAAAAAAGGACGATGTACAAACCGTGTACGTTAACGTGTGTTAAACCGTGTACGTTAACGTGTGTCAAACCATGTACGTTAATGTGTGTCGGACCGGGTACGTTAATGTCTTTGGTTTGTTTTACAGAATATCAACCTCAATGTGTTATATAATGCCGACAAGATTTTCATTGCTGGTAATATTTTTTCCCCATAAATTAATTTCTGGTAATATATCTTCCTTCAAAAATTTATTTCTGGTAAGAATTTTCCTTCGCTGTTAATATTTTTTCCAAAAAATTATTTTGTTGTTAATATTTTTTTTTTTTTGGCAAAGTATTTCTGGTACTGAAACCTGTTTTTACATTTTCATAGTATTTTGATTCCAGCTCAGGGGTCAACTATTTGCTTAACAAGTGTTACCACCCCGGGTCAGGGTGGGCCTAGGAACATCAGCAATTAAGAGGCCTTGCTGTTGTACGTAGTTTATCGTCATACCCAAGACGGACTAATGTGTGCCGTTCCGTGTATGTTAATGTGTGTCGTTCCGTGTATGTTAATGTGTGTCAAACCGTGAACGTTAATGTGTGTCGAAACGTGTATATTAATGTGTGTCAAACCGTGTAGGTTAATGTGTGTCGAATCGTGTATGTTAATATGCGTCACATTCGAATTCTGAAACTATGAAAACGTGTGACATACGCTACAAGATACTCTGGCACAGATGTTCCGAGAATAAGTGATGGATTTGATTGACTTGCTTTTTTACGACTTATCGACCTCTTGAAGTTTATTTAAGACTATAAAATATTTTATTTTGCGATATAAGATTTGTATGGTGCAGTAATGATTGACCGATACGAGTTTTACCAATTAAGCGAAGGGGTATTTGCGGGCAATCATCTTCGATTAACAACTCCAAGATGTTGTCCATAACACCATTCGCAATGCAAGCTTACAGCACATGGCATTTCCAATCGGTCACCAATCTAGTTCCGACGTTGATAACTTCAGTAATCAGACGAGAACCGATGTTTCGCCGTGATAAGGCCGTAAGCTTCCGCTGGATATAATAGATCTATCTATCTATCTATCTATCTATCTATCTATCTATCTATCTCGTTCTGTTCATATCCCTCTCTCAATATATAAAACTCAGTCTGTTCATATATATATATATATATATATATATATATATATACGTCTGTTCATATGTATCTATCTATCTATCTATCTCTGTCTATCTATCTCAGTTTGTTGATATCTATCTATCGACCTTTCCATCTATTCATATCTATCTAGCTCAGTCTGTTCATATCTAGTTCTCTCTCTCTCTCTCTCTCTCTCTATATATATATATATATATATATATATATATATATATATATATATCCATCTATCTATCTCAGTCTGTTCATATCTATCTATCGATCTATCTATCTCAGTTTGCTCATATCTATCGATCTATCCATCTATTTCAGTCTGTTCATATCTATCTATCCATTACTTTCTATTCATATCTATCTCCGTCTGCTCATATCTATCTATTTATTTATCTATCTATTCCATTTTTATCTGTTAGGATTATTTACATTTTATCTATCTATGTATCTATCTATCTTTGTCTTTTCACATCACAGACTGTTCATATCTATCTGTAGAGGAATATTCGTAGATAAAGCGAAGTAATAAAGGATTTTCAAACACAGCTCTACAAATTTAAACAAGTTTTTTTTTATTACTGAGCATTAGTTTTCTTTCCAAATGAAAGAAATGAATTACAACGATTCTTTGCGAAACAACTTCACATTGAATATTGCCTGTGTTCTTTACAATACTACCGAATCAACTGTGTTAGTATGATACAAAATAAAATGCATCTACAGGTGATAATTTGTGTGTCACGGATTTACGTAGTTTTATGTATGCGTGTAATTTCATAGTAGCAGCAGATAGTGGATAGCAGGCAATACTGTTTTGATACTACTGCTAAAATCCGTTCGTATTTTTTGTGTGTATCTTAACACAACATCACGGAGCTTTTTATTTTAATAATATAGAATACTGCAATAAATATGCGAAAATGTAAGTAATTAATTAAGGTTTGGGAAGTCCAGCTTGTAAAACAATGAACAAGCTTGGTCAATGTTTGACTGAAAAATTACATTCTGCAATCTAAAGCGATCGCTTTTCTACCTGAGATATCGACTCCGAAATCCTCCCTCTCTTCTCATTACACTCACCCTCGACGCCATTAATATTATTAGTAGTAGTAGTTACAGTAATATTAAATGTAGTATTACACGAGGCTCCGACTGTTTTCGTCAAATGTTTATTTCCTACTTTTTTTTCCATTAAATGACATTTCTCATTATTGTGGCGTTTAACCAATTTTCATTTTTTTTTTCGCATTCAGTTTTCTGTGATAATTATTTCGATTTGAATAAAATAATAAGAACATTAGTCGAATTTTAATTCTCTCGTCAGATTGAAATTGTTTCTTGGTCTTTATTAAAATGGCAATACATATAATTATCTATACAAAGCAGGAATCCTTCTCGAAAGACTTCGAACTGTAAAAAGCGGAAACGTACAAGAATTGGAAGAACTGTAAATTTGCGATAACACGTGATTAGGAGAGAACTTTTATTTAATAAAAGGAATCGTGAGAGCCATTACCATTGAATTCACCCACACATTACGACACAAATATACATAGGGTGTATGGAAATACTTTGACAAATTTGAGGGCGGCTTCCTCACAACAAAACAAGAAGAAAAAATCCATATAAATATATGTCCGCCAATCTCTTTGCTTATTAACGGTAGATTTTATTAAATGGACAAATCCAAGCTAAGTTTCCATTTTTAAAGATTGTATATTCGAATAAATATGCGACAAATTATTTAAGGTCTGAGAATTTCAGTTTAGGTAACAACGAACAAACAATCCACCCTGTTCAAAAAAATAACTTAATTACCTTAGCTTATCACCTTCCAGTTTCCAGAGTATAGAGGCTTTGTCTCTTAGATATGTTTGTCTCTTAGAGCCGTTTGATATTGCAGGATTTATATAGCTTTTTTTTAATGTATACTTGTACACTATTTCTTATATTATATATATATATATATATATATATATATATACCTGTAAACAACTCCCATATATATCTGTGCACGTATAAACGCACACACGTTCACATAACGATATAATATATATGTGAAAAGTATGAAATAACGAAATCTTTAACACGGCTTTACAAATTTGAATAAATTTTTATTATTGAGTCTTAGTTTTCTTTCAAGTTGAAGGAAACATATTACTAAAATCCTCGCAAAACAGTCAGACAAAAATACTTGTTTTCACTTTTTACAATGAAACAGTATATTTGCGATCGCATGATAGAAAATAAAAGAGTGCCACGTATTTAATTATTTTTATGTATGCGTGTAATTTCCTATCAGTTGGCAACCGACAGTCAGCGAGCTTTCAGCTGTGTTATACCACAGATAATATTACTGTTGTTGACAAGAAATCCGTTCGTATGTTTTTGTGTTTCTTAACTCAACATCACTAACCTTCTATTTTTTTAAAGATAGCATGCTCGAATAAATATGCGAAACTCTGTCTAATTAATTAAGATTTGAGAATTTCAGCTTGTATACAAACAAACGAACAACCCACCCTGGTCAAAACTAATTTCTGAGAAATAATACGATCGATTTTATAACCAGGAAATCGGCTCCGAAAAGACGAAAAGTTATATTTTATTAAACTCTTAAAGTTTATTGGTCAACAAATATTGTCCCTATTTTTTAAATATCTATTTTAAGGAGGAAAAATATTATTTATCCTTTTCTAGAGTCAGCCTTCAACATTTTTTTTTAATATTGATTATTGGTTTTCTTTCAAATTGAAAGAAACAGATTACTAAAATCCTTGCGAAAATATTTCTTTTCATTCTCTACAGTGAAACAGAATATTTGCATTTGGATGATAGAAATCCAGCCAATTTCATTTCGATTCTTTTTTTCTCCTTATTTTCATCATCTTTGTTATTAAATATCCCACATTGTGATAATAGAAAATCTGCCAGGAATGGTGAAAGTTTGTAAGAAATTGAATGCAAATTTACTGTCAGTGATCTAGCCATGAAAGCACATTCTAAATATTTTTATCTTAATGAATTATTTTCTCTTTTAATTAGATTTCATTTTTATGCCAAAATCGTGGTCAGTCTCGTTATGGCGAATAAGTAACGTGTTTAATATGTTGTCTTTTATGATGTCTCTTTTGTGCTCATATAATCTTTTAGTTAAACTTCTTGAGGTTTCTCCAATATATTACTTCTGGCAATATTTGAAGGTGATAGAGTAAATTCCTTCTTCAATTTTTTGCTTGTTTTGTTTTTATTAAGTCTTTGATTATTTTAGACGTAGTTGAATGTTTTGACGTTCACGTCAACATTGTCTGCCCACAACATCATTCATCGTCTCTCGCAATCTCTCCACTGTCCATGAACCTCTTGTGCAATAGACGAATAGTACGAAATGTATTTCAGAAGTTTTCAGACTTTTTCAGGAGAGTCAAAGTACGAAACCTTACTGTCCTTCAAAATAAGAGATTCTGACTTCAATGCCCTTGTTGTAGAGCTACACCCAATTCGTGAACCACCCTTGGACGTCGTTCTAAAGTGAAGGCATCCAGAGTCCTTCTCACAGCTTTCTTGATCTCACTATCTTTAAAATGACTGCTCTGACGTTCTCCTTCAGCCTGGCTGTAGGGAGGGGGAGCAACTATTACTTTCTTACGAGGAAAGAATTGTGGACTCTTATCTTGGTGTGATGCACAAATCGAAGAGCTCTGGCTTTTTGCGACGAAATCTCTTCCTGAATTACCCCGGGTACTCAAAAAAGTATCCTTTGTTAATCGTCTCGCCAGATGGAACCAGGGGATTTAGATGATGTCCGTGGTGTTGCGAAAATCCTATTGAACTTCTTGGAACTGCGGTGGGGTGGTCACGATATTTTCTCTGTACGCTCTTTTGTATCTCTCTTCCTCTCTAGATTATAACAGTAAATGCAGCTTTTGTCACAGGTTACCAGGGAGCCGAGTACTCTTGGAGTTAAGGGAATGACCATCAACTATCCCCCTGCTGTCACCAACGCGTCTTTAAATTTGTCCGTCACTATGAACCCTGGAAGGAAACATTGTACAGATTTTGCGCATGTTCAGATCTTCAGGAATAATACTATGTACAGTTGCCACACCAACTTCCAACTGTAGGTTTATTGTCTTTACAGATACATGAGGATCTTCATCGCAATCAGCTCTGATGTTCTGATATCTTTCTTGCTTCCACATCTCTCTTGCTTCCACATCTCTCATCATGTCTCACCACAACTCTACCGCCCTTGAACCTTTTTTACTATCAAAAAGCAGATGCAAGTTAATTCATAAACAATATGGAGCATTTCATAAGTTTCTCTAGTGTTTTTGCCCAGTTTAACACAAAACAATATTTTATAGCGAGTTTCCAAATTGTCTTCACGTCCCGACTGCAATCTCTAAACTAGACAGACGTGACAAGTAGTGCTTAGCAGTGTGTGTTCAAAGAGCTGTTACAGTAAGACATGTCGATTTTAGAAGCGTCGAATTGCATTCAATTTTAAATTTGTTATGATAAATCAGGATATGAATTTTTTTTTCAAATAGTTACCGTTTTTTAAGGAAACGATTTTAAAGATTAAGTTTCGGTTCAAAATCATAGCATTGGAATTTCATTCCAGTGATCAATGAAAGCCTTATTGCACAGCCTTATACAATTTATAATTTACTGAAGCTTCACAAATTGTATATAGACAAGATACATGGCACAAGGACATTATTACTAAATCATTGTACCATCAAATAAGACCTTCATTTACTTCAAAGTGAAATTATACTGAACAATTTAGCTATATTATGATGTGATATGTTATACAGTGCTATAGTTTTAGTGTGATTTTCAATAAACAATGCAAATTTAAAACATTGTCTCATAATTTGTGCGCAGCAGGATTAAGGTGTTATATAAAATTTTATCTATTTTTTGTTTTTATTAATTATGATCTAACAAATTATCTAACGAATCGTATTGATTGAGTAGTCTTTTTTGTAATTATTTACAATATTTTCAGACAGTTTTTACTTATCGAATACAGTAAAAATATTACGTAATTTATTTTTGCTAATTCAGAATGAAAATTCTGGTTTGAATATATTTTCCATTCGATGTATCTAAATACAACTTTATTTGGATTTATTCTCGAAATCGTAAATTTTTGCTGACTTCAAAATTAGGTATTTCTATATTTTGTTTCAGACTAAATGCTCAAAAACTGGTAAAGCCGTTTAATCTAATTTTCGAACTAAGTACCTGTCACTTAAAACCCCAGCTTTCACATCAAGATCAATGTTGATTGTCTGAGGAAAGGGAAAGATGAACCAGCCCTACTGTTGCCTTGGTGGTTAGGAGGACATTTTCCATGCGAACTTCTCTGATGCTATGGTGCCTATATTGGCATAATTTCGGGTGGGTACATATTGGAATCAATTCATCTTATAGCCAAATTACCATCTTGGTTTTAAATTCTTTTCAGGAGACACGGTGGAGTAATG